AAGCATATTTTTGAACAAAGTTGAAATCAAACTGGATACCGACTGATACCTATAATGCGTTTTTTCGACTTCGTTCTTTTTTGTCTAAGATTCTTTCATTTTTACGTTTTTATTACCAAATAATAAAATAAAATATATATATGAATTTATCTGTTGTTTTCATATTCATTATAAGTGAGAAATCAATAATTTTAAAAAACTTCTTAGTGTAGGGAAATATAATAATAATAAATAGAAAAAATCAATCTAAATAACATTATGAGTTGGTAATTATCAATTTCTTACGTTTTCAGTTATAAAAATGGCTGTAAATTCATTAAATATTGGTTGGATAACTTTTTTTTATGATTCAGCCCTTTTTTCTCCCTACTTTTTGCGGTTTGTTAGAAAAAATTAAAAAAAAAACGATTTTTTTCAAAAACTGTCCTTTGACGACTCCTACTGGTGAACCAATGCGAGTTACAAAAAAAACTCAAAAGCAATTTTAAAGAGCGTGAAATTCCCCATAAGGTGTATTAAACCGATTTGCAATATTGTCAAAGGTGGGTAAGCATTAGAAATTTGAAAAAAAAATATATTTTTTACATGCATTTTAAACGGTAAAACTTTAAATTTAAATAGTAAGTACTTAAAATTTATATTAAGAGCTCAAACTTGTTGAGAATTGTTTTTTCTATATGCAGATTAATATTTTGCTTGAGCACCGAAGAAAACAAAAACTTTGCGGAAATGAATCACCCTAATATTTATACATAGCTTTTTATGCACAGGCAAATTTTAAAATTAGGTCTGGTTTTAGACATTTACCGTTCTTAAACATCTTTTAAAAGGTTTCTTTTTTAAAATAAAGGCAAGTCATTTAAAATAATTGTAAAGCTAATAATTATTTCTAATTTGCTATTAATATAACCTATGATAATAACACGCAAAGCAGACTCGGTATGCGACGCAGAGCATAGAAGAATATGCGCAAACTGCGCCGCAGACAACGCATAGCGGAAAGGTGCGGGCAGAAACAATTCTTATGAGTTCACGGCCTCGTTGGAACAGGAGGGTATTCAAGAAAATTAATTTAATTTAATAAATCGAAGTATAAACAATTAAATAATATTATTTATTTATTTATTTATTTAATTTCATGCCTCAATTTTTTAACATGTGGGTAATATGTTTGTTTGCTTACGCATGTCGAAGCCAATCGCCCCCCCCCTAGCCGGGGGCCCCGTATCATTGATACGGCTGATACCGCGGTAGCTAGCTAACTACCGCGGTATCAGGCCTCTGCACCGTGCAATTTATAATTTATCACAGTAAATCGTCAAATTGTTTCTAAAATCTATTATATTTGGATATTTTAATAAATTTTGAAATTTTATTATAACCTGTAGTAAATTATAAATTGCACCACTTTATTTTTGTATTTTCTTTATTAGTGGGCCAGGAGACAGACAAAGCAAAGCCAAAAGCTATCTTTTATCGCAAACTTCAATTTAAATTGTTTATTTATTGTCATTATAAACTCATATAAATTTGGTGTGGGATTTGGGACATATGTCTCATAACAGAGATATTGAAATACCCAAAATGCACCAGCCGGCCCTGGGTGTAATGTAGGGTATGCTAAAATAACAGCACTACACAATTGCGTAGTGCTGTATAAGCGTATACACTATACACATATACATATTGTGGTATTATGTAGTGTTATGCAGTGCAGTACGGTATAGTGTAGTGAGGAAAGGTGTAGCATGCAATGTGCTATCGTATACCTTTATTGCTTAGGTACCTTCAAAGTTTTGTCATTTGATTTCAACCACATCATTTGTTGTTATTGTTGTTGTTAGGATTGTTTAGTTTTGATAATGCAACGCGCTTGTTGTCAGCAGAGAGCAAATGCGGAACCCATCTGGCAGCGAGGTTTTTCTTTCCTAAATATTCATGCAATATATTCCCAGACAGCATCTAAATCAGAAAGATTTTTGTACGAAGTCTGTTAAAGAACATCTTACCAAGGGCACAATATGACATCTAGGAGAAATCATTTTTAAGAGCTCAAGATTAAGAGCTCTTAATAAATTCATAAATGAAAATTACATTTTGTAACATCTTAAAGTATTTTTTTCGGACCTCTTATTGGAATCAAAATTAGAAGCTACTTCAGTTATAGGATATCTTACAGTATTCTATTTTCTTACTTTTAACTGAAATCATATTATTAACTGAAGCAGAATTATTATCATGCGCCCAGAGGTAGGCAACCAGTTGTACCAATAAGTAATCGTGGTTGCCTAACTGGATTTTTTAAACTTTTGCCGCGATTCCGCGACTGCTTTGCGCACCCCAGATTTCCTGTTTTTTTTGGTCAAGTTCGACAAAGCCACGAGGTGTGAGACTTTTGAACACTGTTTAAACCAGTAATATTTTTAATATTGCATTTGGGTAATAAATAGACGTGACTGCTCATGTTTTTAGGTAAGTCTTTATTTTAATATAAAACTTATTTGGATGTATAGGGTGATTGCCGAACACTTGTATAACTTGTATAATGTTTTTAGTGTGTTATCAAAGACCATACCATTAATAAACGCATCATCTTGTCATATCTGCCTTTTTACCATCGAACTCTTCCCCCCTGAGGCCGCACCGCCTTCTTAGAGACGGTTACGCTACATAACTCATCAAAATGAAGACGTCTCAACGTTGTAACTGCTTTTGCGCAGTGGCGGCTGGTGGATTTTGGGTATACCGATATCTCAATTATTAGATATGGGACCCACACCAAATTTATATGAGTTTATAATGACATTAGATAAACAAGTTCCGCGCAATATCTTTTTTTCGCAAACTTTAATTTAAATTCTGCTTGCACAGAACTTATTTATTTAATGTCATTAAAAACTCATATAAATTTGGTGTGGGTCCCATATCTAATAATTGAGATATCGGTATACCCAAAATCCACCAGTCGCCACTGCTTTTGCGGCGAAGTAGAATTTAAAGCGTGCTCCACACCAAACAGCCGGCCGTAAGCCTAGGCAAACGGCTACCCGATACTGAAGAGCTCAAAAAAGCGAAACAGGCCGTCTATCGGTAAAGAGCACGCTCGAATTTAAACAAAAGTAATCGCAATTCCAATAGAAAAAAATATAAAAAATTTCAAATGGTATAAAATCTGTATATTTGGATTTTTTTTAAATTTATCGATAAACTATGGTAAATATTAAATTGCACCAATTAAATTTATATTATATTTATTGGGGGCGCCATGGGGCAGGTACGGCCGAGCAAACAGTTTTTTCGCAAATTTCAATTTAAATTCTGCTTGCGCAGAACTTGTTTATTTAATGCCATTATAAACTCATATAAATTTGGTGTTGGTCCCATATATAGTTATAACTAGGGTTGTGGAATTGACCGGTCAAATTGTTTTTGGTCAATTGACCAAAATAGAATTAAATAAAATATCAAAATAAATATTACTCTGATTTATTTGTAATTAATAAATAGGTAGGTAGTTAAAATACGTTACCAATTTTTTTTTTATTATAAAAGTTATGTCCATCTTTAGAAACGTTTGTGCGGCTTTAAAAAGTTATGTTTCGCTACTAAAAAAGATATGTCCCGCTTTAAGGGCAAAGCGCCGAGTCCGGCCTAGCAACCCCTCGACTCGGGAACCACCAAATTGTAAATGATGTCGATATTGCACGATCGCAAAAATTTTAAGATTCACGGGTAATTGTTGATACCCAAATAAAATGCTGCAAAAATTAAATATATTTTGACCGGTCAATTGACCGGTCAAATAGGTAGCGGCAGAGACAAGACTCTATGGGTAGCGGTCAATTGACAGTCAATTGACTGGTCAATTGGCCATCCCCAACTCTAGTTATAACTAATTATTATTGGTCCCATAATTATTATTATTAATAATTGGGATATCAGTATATATACCCCAAATCCACCAGCCGCCTCTGCTATCATCATCAAATATTTGTGTAAACTAATTTTAAAAAGGTAAAATTTGTCTTGAAGGCAAGAATAAGTAATTTTCTACTATTTAAAAAAACGTTTGCATAACTTTTGTATTGCATATTTTTTGTTTTGTAAAAAATATAGGTATATCATAGGTAGGTACCTACGCTGAGTAAAAAATTTGGTAATTTCCGAGGTAATTTTAAACAAATGGGCCCAATTAATTTATTTTAAATTTAAATGTTTAAACAACATCGAACTTGAATCGAAAAAAATATTTAAAATAAAACTGCTTTAAATAATTAAATGTGGAATCTTTTAAATCTCACCAATTGTTTTTCTCAGTGTAGGCGGCAATTTGGTTCATCCTATGATACAACAAACCAATTGGTTTGTTGTATCATTGGGTTTAGCCTATATGAGGCAAATTTGTAAATCTGCCTTTCTATCTACTATACCGGTATGGTATTATTTAGGAATCGGTAGATCTACCGAAATCTTGCTAGGGTTGGCAACACTGGCATAACCTCACAAACACAGTGTGTTTAACACACCCCGCCAAAACACAGCGGGCTTTGGATCAGCTGTTGATGCGAGATATTCATTTGTTATTTTCATCTGTCATCTTTATATTATTATAAGTAAAATGGATTTGGACTTGGAAGACGACAAAAGAAGGGACTTTTTGTTGAACGAATTGAGTAAAATTCACGCTGAAAATAAGGATTTGGAAAGAAAACATTTAGAGAGGCAGGAAATATTAAGAACATTGGATTTCAAGTCGGGATTTGCGGATGATTCTGTCGATGTTCATTTAAGTTGGATGAAAATATGTAACAACCAGTATAACATTGGATTTGAAGTAAGAAACAAAGAAAATTAGTAAGTACAAGCATTTTTAGGTAAAATTTTATTATAATTGCTAGTTTAATAAGTGGTTTCACTATTATTTGTCCACTAATAATTATTGTAAATAAGTTAAAATACGAAATTATTTTGACCACACAAAAAAATAATAGTTACCTATGATGTAGGTAATAAACTTTTTAACAAATTTTGTATATACAGTGGTGTGGTGTACCTACTTATATAAATACCTATAACAATAAAACTGTTTCCTGTGATATGTTTTATACAATTAGAGTATTATTTTTTTGTGCAGTTTTTTAAGACGGTAAAAAATTATACATTTAACAATTTAACGCTAGATATATCACAATTTATTTAGGTTTTTTTCTAAAGATATTTTGTACAGGTTTCTTCTTCTACTTAATCTTTTCGACGCTAGATGGCAGAAGCATGTTAAAATGTTATTATTATTTGTAAACTTGGGGAAGAGGTAAACGTTGAAAATCTTTTAAGGTTATTGCGGCTAAAAGGGTCGATGGGTCCTTGTCCTGTTGTCCCAACTCCAAAAAACCACTTAGTGAGTAGTTAAAGAGTTCAAAATCATACCTAAAAAAATAGGAATTATTTTATTTTGGTTGATTTAGTGGATATATTTTAAAAGTAAAAACTTGTTAATTAATATAAGACAGGGCTCCCACACCTCCTAAAACTCATAAAATTCATAAAATTTTGCCTAAGTCTTGAAAACTCCTAAAATTCTCCTAAAATGGCCGGCAATATCCTAAAACTCCTAAAAATTTAATATAGATAGGCCAACCTAACCGTTTAATTACTTAAATTTAATATTATTAATGAAACTGACTTTTTTAAGTAAGATAGTAATTATTAACACGTGATGACTGTCAAAAATAAGAGGCGCCCAAAACTATAAACATGTTAAAAATGTACCTTCGTTCTTTAGGAATGCGATGCCTGATTGGTGGAAGCGGTTCCGATTGTAGCCGAACACGAACTTTTGTCAAATATCGTGTTGGCTGAACTTAAAACAGTAAATTACCGCCTATAATTTGTGCATTAAATTAATGCCATTAATGCCATTATTTATTATTTATTTGTGTAGTGTTGTGAATCTATGTCCACATCCAGTAAAGTGGTACAATGCCTAATTAATAAACCAGGTAAACCTAATTAGTAATAATTTAGCTAGCTATAGCTATGATAGCACTATAGTGTCTTACCTAAATAATAAATTAAGTTTATCTTTCTTAAGTTTAATTATTTTATCTTTTTAAATATACAGATACTGCTCCACCTGGGAAGAGTCTTTTATTTGCTTAAAAGGTTGCTCTGATCCGTACTTTGCTTTTTTATTTTAAGTGTCCCAAAATATTTAAAAGTATGGTTATGTAAGTAGGTACTTAAAAATACTTTTTTTCTACGTTTAAAAAAATTAGAAAATTGATTTGTATACAAGTTTATTTTTCTCAATGGATCACCCTATATATATATATATAAATATATATATATATATATATATGCCAAAAAAAAAACTTTTAATTTTTTTTCTTTAGGTACCATGAAAATATCGTCCAAGATGACGAAAAAAAAATTCTCCTAAAGTTTGAGCTCTTAATATTAATATTAAGAGGTGGCTCATCGCGATTTTTTATTTTCCATTTAAATAACACGGGAAAAAAACATTTTTTTGTTTGTAATTTTATTGCGATTTAACGAATTAGTGTGTTGTAAAAATAAATACATATTCTTGTAGGGAATTGAACGATCTACAAAAAAGATCTGATATGATTTTTTGCTTAGTCGACTCTTTTAAAAGATATTTGAGGTTAAAGTTCAACCTCAAATAGTAAATGATGACTTTTATAGTTTTCCATGCTCTATTACGAAATATTGGCTCAAAAACATGAAATATTATATTTTTCGTGAAGTTTATCGAGTGTTCTTTGGTAAAACAATACAATTTCTACGAAATATCAATAATCAATATCAATAATTTTTTTTTCTATAAGTACTTGATTTAAAAAAAACTTTTAATTTTCTTTTCTTTAGCTACCATAAAAATATTGTCCAAGATGACGAAAAAAAAATTCTGATAAAGTTTGAGCTCTTAATATCAATATTAAGAGGTGGCTCATCGCGATTTTTTATTTTCCATTTAAATAACACGGGAAAAAAACATTTTTTTGTTTGTAATTTTATTGCGATTTAACGAATTAGTGTGTTGTAAAAATCAATACATATTCTTGTAGGGAATTGAACGATCTACAAAAAAGATCTGATATGATTTTTTGCATAGTCGACTCTTTTAAAAGTTATTTGAGGTTAAAGTTCAACTTCAAATAGTAAATGATGACTTTTATAGTTTTTCACTAAATAATTTCTCAAAAACATGAAATATCATATTTTTCGTGAAGTTTATCGAGTGTTCTTCGGCAAAACAATACAATTTTTTATAAAATATCAATAATCGTTGAAAAAACGGTTTTTTCCTATATTTAATTTTTTTTTAATTCGAAATTTTTTCTTTACCTGAGTAATGACAAAAAAATTAATCATTTCCTTAAAAAATAATAAATATTCTATTTACACTTGACTATTAGGTAATGTAGAGTAATAAAAGCCATGTTTCAATAATTTTCCAATTAAAATAAAAAATGTTATTCCAACGTGCACTTTTTCACTATTTTGGAATCAAACTAAATTTTTCTTGTTACAATTGGGATATTTTTGCTGGTGGTTTTTAACTACTCGCTATAAGTATCAAATATACATATATATGATTTTTACAACACACTAATTCGTTAAATCGCAATAAAATTACAAACAAAAAAATGTTTTTTTCCCGTGTTATTTAAATGGAAAATAAAAAATCGCGATGAGCCACCTCTTAATATTGATATTAAGAGCTCATACTTTATCAGAATTGTTTTTCGTCATCTTGGACAATATTTTCATGGTAGCTAAAGAAAAAAAAATTAAAAGTGTTTTTTTAAATCAAGTAAGTACTTATAGAAAAAAAATTATTGATATTGATTATTGATATTTCGTAGAAATTGTATTGTTTTACCAAAGAACACTCGATAAACTTCACGAAAAATATGATATTTCATGTTTTTGAGCCAATATTTCGTAATAGAGCATGGAAAACTATAAAAGTCATCATTTACTATTTGAGGATGAACTTTAACCTCAAATATCTTTTAAAAGAGTCGACTAAGCAAAAAATCATATCAGATCTTTTTTGTAGATCGTTCCATTCCCTACAAGAATATGTATTGATTTTTACAACACACTAATTCGTTAAATCGCAATAAAATTACAAACAAAAAAATGTTTTTTTCCCGTGTTATTTAAATGGAAAATAAAAAATCGCGATGAGCCACCTCTTAATATTAATATTAAGAGCTCAAACTTTAGGAGAATTTTTTTTTCGTCATCTTGGACGATATTTTCATGGTACCTAAAGAAAAAAAATTAAAAGTTTTTTTTTGGCCCACCCTAATATATATATTTAAGTAAGTAAAAATGCCGTATTTAGACAGAGAAAGACAACATATTTTAACTTATTATCGAAAAATTTAAAAAGAAATTCTTATATATATAGGGTGATTCCGAGGGTGATTCATTGAGAAAAAATAAACTTTTTGTTTTTTCCTGTATACTGATCAATTTTCCAATATTTTATACATAAAAAAAGTATTTTTCACCACTTTTAAATTTTTTTGTGACACTTAATATTAAATAATTAAAAGGGGGCGACATTATAGGGGATCACCCTGTACAAAAGAAGTGATATTTTTTATATTTTTGTTAAAAAGAGATATTTTTTTTATATTTTTGTTAAAAAGATTTATTTATTTTTTTCCTATTTTTTTAAGTACAATGTAGTTTTTTTATTTAATTACAAAAATTCATTTGCATACTTTATTTCTCCTAAAATTCTCCTAAAATTATCCAAAAAACCTCCTAAATTCCTAAAAAAAAACTGTAATTTAGCCGTGGGAGCCCTGATAAGAGTATGCACCCGTCAGAAAAAAATAAAAACAATAAAATAAAAAAGATGCGATGGTTGTTTTAAAAGTATAAGTTGGATGGATTTAAACGTATAAAATGTAGATATGTGGTGTAAAAAGTACGCCCCTGGTAGGAAATAAATGAGTTTTAAACAAATTAAGATAAAAACATAGCATGTTAGGTAGAGTGTTTTAAGAGTACGCACATGGTTTAGAAAATAAAACAAAAAAGCGTGGTAGGATATTATAAGAATATGCATGATTTAAGAGTTGTATTCATTAAAAAAGGGTACCTACAAGAATGAGAGAAAACGGTCAACATTATTGCGTAAAACCGGCTTTCCACTGAAGTCCCTATCTATATCGTCAGTTATCTCAAGTTGAAAAGGCTCAAATAGTATCAAGAATCGAAAAAGGATGGTCAATTCGTGCTGTAGCGCAGTTGTATAATAGAAATAAAAAACTATATTAAAAATTAAGCAACGCTGGGAACAGGCAGATTTACTAAACCGAAAATTTGGTTCAGGTCGTCCCAAACTGTTCACTCCTGAACAGGATGCTGCTTTTTTGGGATATTTAAGGAATAATCCATTTGCAACAGCGAGGGATGCTCTCAACCTACCTCCAGCACAAGGGTCAAGAAATCTGAACTAAAAAATAGACCAACTGCAAAAAAAAAGTTTCTTACAGAAGAACGAAAACAATCAAGGGTTATATTTGCATTAAATTACATATATCGCAATCCCTAACAGCATTGAGTAAAGAAGTGGGGAAGAGGCGTGGTCTAATGTATTTAAAATAACTCCAAAATCGATCCCAGTTGTTAGAGGCGCCACCGTCGATTTTATCTTGAGATTTAAATTCTAAATTAGAGTGAGACCGTTAGAGTGAGACAGTAAGAAACGCGTCGTCATCAGCATCCCCACTTTCTATGCAATTCGCCGCGCCGGTCGAATGCATCGTGAAGGTCGACTAGATTAAATTTAATTCAGTTTGCACAAAGCAATTGCTCAAGTAGGTTGTTGTACTTAATTCGTTAGCGAAAATGAATAATTTACCTACAAATACTTGTTTATATAACAAATGTTTTTTAAAAAAAGGCAAAACCAGCTTTGTATTGTTCCAATTTCCAATAAAAGACACCGAACGGTGTGAAATTTGGAAGAAAAATTCCGGAAATCCACTTTTATTGGATTTAGATTATAATGATCTAAAATTTAAATGTATTTGTGAAAAACATTTTTTGCCGAAGGACATTCTTACAAGCCTTTTTTAATAATTAATTCTTTAAACGCATTAAACAATTAATTTTATATTCTTTATGTAAATAAATCATTACAGGTGCGTGAAAATATATTTATTAATTTTTAAGTGAAAATAAAGATAAAACTACAAAAAAAACAATATAATTTGATTTGTTTTGTTTATCTTAAAATGACATTGTTATTTTCAAAAATCTTGCAATAGGCGTTCACTTAACGGTATTTGCTTAATGTTTTTTGATGTTTATATTTTTCAATTGTTTTAATGCTAAACTTTCTTATTTATTTATATTTAAATGTTCAAACTATTCAA